GATCCCCAACAAGCAAATAAATATAAGCAAGGTCATTTCAGATATGAATAACTATCAGGAAGGCAGTGAAGGGGGGGAAGAGACAGTGATTAATTAAAGCGGCAGAGTTTGTCGAGGGGACACTTCAGACAAGGTGGTCGGGGAAGACATCTGAGGACATGCTTTGTCCAGATGACAAAGATCCAAAAAACATGAAATGCCTGGGGAAGAGTATCACTGGGAACAGCAGGTGCAAATGTCCTGTGGTGGCAACATGCCTGAGGCCAATGTAGCTGCAGGACAGGAAGTAAGGGGGGGGAAATACACAGAAATGGTGGAAAGGGAGGAAGATCTAAGGGATGGGGCCCTGTCATTTTGCTCATCTCAGTACCTAGTAACTTAGAATATGCTTTTTGAATGAATGAATACATGAATGAATGAATGAGTGAATGGACCAATGAATGGATGGATGAGTGTATGAATGAATGGATGAATATATGGATGGATGGATGAATGGATGAATGATTGAAAATATTCAGTAAAAATGGAGTTGACATGAGTGGGAGGAAATCAAGGGGGGCCACCTAGGGGAGGCACTTGATTCCTTTGGTTACTAATTGCCCACCAAACTCCTCCTTTCAAACCCAGCAGCCAGGGCAGGGGTGTCCCTTAACATGGATGAATTTTTTAGCCAAACCAGATCCAGAGCCCAGAGGGTGTGAGCAGAGGTTTTGGTCCTGGGTCCTCCAGCTCCCTTGAGCCCACCCGGAAGCTATAGCTTCCTCTCTCCCGTGGAGAATGCAGGAACCCTGCCCAGAAGCGGCATTAGTAACTGAGCTGTCCCATTGTCTCTAAACTGTGGCTCTATTGTCTCCTCCCACATGACCAAGGGAAATGCCCAGGAGGATGGGGGGAGGGGGCCAGACAGTGCTCAGCTCTTCATATGTAAACACTGCTGGTTCTGATTCTGGGTCCAACAGAGCCAGGACCCCAGGATCAGGTTAAGAGAGAATGGATTCCCACTATTCAAACCCTGACTCAGCTCTCTGCTAGCTGTGTGACCTTGGGCAAGTTACTCAACCTCTCTGAGCCTCCATCTCCTCACCTGCCAAAGAAGATAAGAAAGAAACTGCTTCATGGGGAGCTATGTAAAGTGGGTGGGACTGCCTGGCGCACAGTGGGCCTGCTCTGTGAGTGTGTTTTAATAAATATAGGCAGGAGTAAATGAGAAACCTTGAACCCTGCCCTTATTCCTGGGAATACAATTTGATTCTCCTCACATCTGAAGGAGGGCAAGGCCTAGCACAAGGGCATTTTGCACATAAGGAAACTGAGGCTCAGAGCTCCTGGGCACGTAGCCAGTGCTAGTGGCCAGGAGGGCCAGGCTGGGTGCCCATAGGAGAACTTAGTGTACGACACTCACTCTGGAGAGCTGCTCTGGCCAAAGCATAGTTGCACCCAGGGCAGTGGACCAGGAAGTGAAACCCAGAAGGCCTGGGTTTCAATCTTGCTGTGTGACCTTTGGCAAGTCACTTAACCCCTCTGAGCCTCAGTTTCCTTTCTGCAAGGTGGAGATAATTCCTACTACCACAGAAGTCAAGAGTTCGATGAGATAAGGCACCCTACTTAGCCTAGAACAATAGTTCTCAACGCTGTGTGTGAGTGTGTGATTTTTGACAATTTCTGGAAACATTTGGCAGTGTCTAGAGGGGATATTTGGCAATGTTTGGAGACATTTCTCGTTGTCACAACTGGAGGAGAGAGTATTGCTGGCATCTCATGTGTGGAGGCCAGGCCTGGGATTCAGCATTCTCTCCAAGGCACAGGATGGCCCATGACACAGAATTATCTGGCCCCAAATGTCAGTAGTGCCGAGGGTGGGAAACGCTGCTCTCATAGTAATTAACTACTCAATGCATATTATTATTACTATTATTAATGAATAAAAGCATTTATCCTGGTGTGTGGCACATTTTATACGCTTCTGACAAGCTAACTTCTGTCTTTCCAGAACATACCGTTCTTCACAAAACAGACCAGAAATATCTAACCCAGCACTGTCCAATGGGAATGCAATCTGAAATAGATATGCAATTTTACATTTTCTAGTAGCCACACTTTGAAAAGTAAGAAAAAAGAAACAAGTAAAATTAATTTTAATAATGTGTGTTATTCAACTCAATATATCGCAAAACATCATCACTTCAAAATATAAACATCATAAATTATTAACGTGATATTTTCTGCTCTTTTTTTACACTAAATTCTTTAAAATCCAGTGTGTGTTTTACTTGTATAGCACATCTCAATTCAGATGCTGCATTTTCATCAGTTACTCTATCTGCATTTAAATATCATGAAATTTGCAGTTAAAAAAAGCAGATTCATACTCACATTGTTTCCAAGTGCACTAAAGGGTTTTCCAATCGCGGAATCCAATCTCAGTTTTCAAATTTAAGTGAAACATCAACAAAATTACAAATTGACTTCTGCAGGCCTGGCAGCCGCATTTCAGGGGCTCATAGCCACAGGTAAGTACCAGCTGTGCTGGACAGCAGAGCTCTGATCCATTCGGTGGGAGATTTTGGAGGCAGCCAATAAGAAGATAGGGTAACCTTTCCATGCTGCCCAGGGAAGAGTCCACACCGCGTTGTTCTGGGTTCTTGTCGTAACTTAAAAGGGCAACTTTCACAATGTCCGGAGCGCTTAATGTCCTGCAAATGAAGGAGGGGAGGTCATCTAATTCCTTGCAACAGGAACCCACTCAGGTGGCACCAACCTTGCCTTCCAGATGGACCAGTACATCTACCAAAGGAAAAGCCATTTTGTCGCCATCATAAATTTGAGGAGAACCTGGGAGAAGCTTCTGCTGGCAGCTTGTGCCATTGTTGCCACTGAAAACCCAGCTGCTGTCAGTGTCACATCTTCCAGGAAGACTGGCCAGCGAGCTGTGCTGAAGTTTGCTGCTGCCACTGGAGCCACTTCACTCCTGGACCCTTCACTAACCAGATCCAGGCAGCCTTCCGGGAGTCAAGACTTCCGGTGGTTACACATCGCAGGGCTGACACCAGCCTGTCACATGTTAACCTGCCTGCCATTGCTCTGTGTGACACGGAATCTTCTCTGTGCTCTGTGGACATTGCCATCCCACGCAACAATAAGGGAGCTCATTCTGTGGGTCTGATGTGGTGGATGCTAACCAGAGAAGTTCTGTGCACGCGGGTATCAGCTCCCATGAACACGCATGGGAGGTCATGCCTGATCTCTGCTTCTACAGAGATCCTGAAGAGGTTGGAAAGGAAGAGCAGGCTGCTGTTGAAAAGGCCGTGACCGTGGAGAAGTTCCAGGGTGAGTGGGGTGCTCCACCTCCTGAGGTCACCGCTACTCAACCTGAGATCACAGACTGGTCTGAAGGTCTGAAGGTGCCCTCTGTGCCTACTCAGCTGTCCCTTCAGATGGCTGGAGTGTGCAGCCTGCCACTGAAGACCGGTCTGCAGTTCCCACCGCTCAGGCCCCCGAATGGGCAGGACAACCACTGGATGGTCCTAAGCTCTTCTTCCACAAACTCTGTAAATGGAAATAAGCTTGATGGAAAATAAACAGTTTCTTCAAAGAAAGAAACATAGGGTAGATATTGATGAACCAGGAGAAAAAACTTTCAGGGTGCATTGATGAATAAGAATTTAGAAATAAAAATTTAAAAAAAGAAAAGAGAACAAAAAAAGAAAGAGAACTGCATGTTTGATAAGATCCCATTGAAAACACAAAATAAACACCTCCCGCTGTCCTTTATTCATACGTGTGTGTGCAGAAAATATTCAGGAAGATGCACAAGTGTTGTGGCTACCCTAGTATGGAAAGAAATTAAGGGAGGGCTTTCATATACTTCTAAACACGCTTCAATATTATCTGGATTCTTTTCGACAAGCATGCGCTACTTCGGTAAATTAATTCATCCATTCAACAGATATTTATCGAATGCCTATTATGAGCGAGGTCACTGGTGTGCTGGGGACGGCTCATCCCAGCTTGAAAGAGCTGATGAACGAATTGTCAGGAGTTTTATGGCGAGTTTTTAGACATAAGCATCATTAAAAATTAATTTATATTAACTTACAAATAAATATATTATATTAAGAACAAAGGTAATAATTAAATACTCAAAACTCATCATTTCCTAATTACATAACTGTATTTGCATAGGATCTTGATTTAAATCTATTGTGTCTTTGTGTGAGAATTCCACGCTCCACGTTCTTCCCATTTCACGTTCAGTGACATCAACTGGTGGCTTGAAATCAGCCAGTGATGGAAATATTTACACCCCTGGAATCGGCAAACACTACAAATCAGGATCCTCTCCCCCACCCCAAGAGCTGGCTGTTAAACACTTACCAGCACCCTCTGGCTAAGTACCACTGTGGGGGCTGGTGATACAGGAGGAAACAAGACACGCAAGATCCTCATTCTTGTGGCGTTTACATTTTGAGGAGGATGAAACAAACCCACAGCCATACTGCTGTAGCTCAGCACCAGCAACGGTTCTTTACACTTTTTAAACTAAGTAATTAAAGTAATTATTGATTATTCTAATTTTTATTATTTTTATGTATTAATCAGTCTAAGCTAATTAATTAATAAATGTCTAAGTCATCTGCCTTGTGGATCTTGTTGGTGTTTTTACCAACTTCTGAGACAGTGCAATTGCAATTTCTGGTCTCTGCAGCTCCCTCTGTCTGGAATGCTCTTTCCACTAACCCTCCCTCCCCTCTTCACCTGGACGACCTTCCAGAAAGCCTTCTCTGTCTGGCTCGCCTCCCACATCCAGGCTGGGCTGAGAGCCCTACTGTGTAGGCCCCTGCCACGGGCATAGCTCCGTCGAAGCTCCGTGCTTGTTCATCCCTGGCACGTTCTCTGGGACCTCATAGGTGCTCCATAAAGGAATGAACAAGGCCGATGACGGAGAAGGCAGATACTAGCACCCACACCAGACTCTGTGTTTGCTCAGGCCTAGGCAGACGTCACCAATCAAGCTTGCTGATTTTATTCCCACACGAGGAGAAAATTCATTCCCCACATGGTGTTTGCTGGAGGCTTCAGGCCTCCAAAGGCCTTTGACCAAGGGGCTCCCAGAACAGCTGCCCCTACCACTGAGTCAGGCAGAGGCCTCCCTCTGCCCCAATAACCCTCTCTTTGTCCCCAAAACCCACAAACCACCCTCTTTGTTGCCCCCAAGGCTCAGAAGCCTGGTGTCCTCAACTTCCTGCTTCCAGACAGTTAAAGCAGCACCTTCTGGATTTCTCTGATCTCCGTGGTCATCAGCCTTGAGGCTGTGGAGGGAAAAATCACAGATTCTCAGAATCGCCCTCCGTTCCCACTTACCATCCAGTCCTGACACCGAACTTGTGCATCTTCCTCCCGACCCGAAAATGGGACATAAGCAGCTCCATGTACCCCCAGAAAACTAACAGATCAATAATAATAATGATAATTGAGTACCTACTGTTTGCCAATTGCTGCCCTAAACCCTCCACATGCCTTATCACGTTTCATCATCCAATAATTGTATGACAATCATTACTATTGTATCTATTTCACAGAGAGAAAATGAGGCCTAGAGGAGGTAAGGACTTTGCCCGGGGCGACCCAGCTAGCAAGTGGTAGATCCAGGATTTCAGTCTAGGCAGCCTAACGTCAGAGTCTGTGCTCTGAACCACTGAATTTGTGGGAGTGTCCATGAATGTGCATTTCTCCTCTCATATTCAGTAGGGTCTGGGACCCCCCAAGAGGGTATGAGCAGCTGCTTTCAGATCTAAAGCATGAAGATTTGCAACCACCAGGACTATTCAAGAGATACTATAAGCTCCCATTCTCAGTGACTCTCTCCTTTCCCACACAGCCCAGGCAGCCCACGTGTACTGAATGACACCTCTCCAACATGCCACAGCTGATGGGACCAAGGGGAGCACTCAGCCTTAGCTGGACTGATCCAATTCTTTCTCTTGTACTTGAAGACACAGACTAAGGAGCCGGCCCCATGGCCATGGTTGGGTTCATGCGCTCTACTTCAATGGCCCAGGATTTGCTGGTTCAGACCCTGGGCAGGGACCAACACACCACTCATCAAGCCACACTGTGACGGCATCCCACATAGAAGAACTAGAATGACATACAACTACGTCCTGGGGCTTTGGGGAGAAAAAAAAAAAGAGGAAGATTGGCAACAGATGTTAGCTCAGGGCCAGGCTTCCTCACTAAAAAGACTACTGCCCTATTAAAAAAAAAAAAAGGCATAGACTAAGGGAGACGGATCACAATGGGCCCTGGAGCAGAAAGGTCATAGCCGGCTTCAGGGCAGGTACCATGGCAAGCCAAAGATACAGACAGAAAAATCAATAGCCTTGCACAGAAAGCTGTTCTGCGGGAAAAATCCAGAAAGTGTAGAAGATCATAGACCAGAAACCCCAAAGTCTCAGAAAGAGATGAAAAAAAAAAAAAAAAAACCACTGCCCGACGACTGCCCAGATTCCGACACTTGGGGTAGCGGAAATTCTCCAGTATCTTGCCAATAAAACTCTTTTAAGTTAAAAAAAAAAAACAAAAAGATTTCTCAAGAGTACCTTCCTCATCCTTCTCTCTCAAATTCTTGGGATGGGGAGGCACAGGTTATTGCTAATCAGCTCAGCTGGTGCTGTCTGTCCACACTGTGTCCTGGGGACCCCCTCTCTATTCTAAAGGAAAAAGCTTCTTCCCTTCCCCTCGCCTTGCTTTGGGTACTTCCTGGAGGATCTCCTTACATTCATGGAAACCTGCCTCTTTCCTGATAATTCAAACTTACTCCTAAACTCTTTGGGGAAGACTCGGCCCTCCCCCTGACCCCAAGGAGCTGAGAGGGAAATCCACGGTGAAACTGACTGTTATCTGGCTTTTGTGGGCACTGGGGACAAATAAATGAACAGAACAGACGGTGCAGTCCCTCCCTCAAGGATGTCAGGCCTAGCAGGGAAATCTGATAGCAGTGAGCAAATCCTTATGTGGTTGTTAATGACACCTGAGGCCTGCATTCCACTGGGAGGGGGAGCATGGCATTGTCACCAAAGCAGGCAGTTTCACCTCAGGCCCCAGCTGCTGGAGGGGACTTTGAGGAGGAGGAGATTCCAGCTCCCCACAGGGAGTTCCTGGCCACAGCAGCACCAGCTGCATTTTCTAAAACACCAGTTCCTCCTCTTTCACTGGTGACACTGTCCACACCTCCAGGATCTGACTCCAGGGGAACACCTCCACCCTGTCACTCACACTCTCGCTGCTGATCACTCACGCCTCCCCCGCTTTCATTGTTCTGCAACCCTCCGGTCTTCTCTACCCTCCCACGCTTCACGCGTCACTTGGCTGTGCCAAGGTCTTGGTCATCTCTGGGAACTGCTCCAAATGTCTTACCATGATAGGAAAATTGGTCATAATTTAGCTGTTAATATGGTACAGTCTCTGTTCTCAGAGTGATTTCTTTTTTTTTAAAAAAAAACTTTATTTTTTTCCTTTTTCTCCCCAAAGCCCCCTGGTACATAATTGTATATTCTTAGTTGTGGGTCCTTCTAGTTGTGGCATGTGGGATGCCGCCTCAGCATGGCTGGATGAGGGTTGCCATGTCTGCACCCAGGATTCGAATAGCCGAAACACTGGGCCACCTGCAGTGGAGCGTGCGAACTTAACCACTCGGCCACGGGGCCAGCCCCTCAAGAGTGATTTTTTGAACATGCCAGCCTGCTCTCACCTCAGGGCCTTTGCACTGGCTTTCCCCTGTGCCTGTCCCTATGGCTCCCTACTTCACCACTTTAAGGTCTTTAATTAAATGCCGCTTTCTCAGCGAGGGCTCCCCTGACCACTTAATTTAAATCTACAATCCTATGTACAGCATGGTGATTATAGTTAATAGTATTGTATTACATATTTGAAAGTTGCCAAGAGAGTAGATCTTAAAAGATGCTATCACAAGAAAAAAAATTTCATAACCATGTATGGGGACATATGTTAATTAGACTTATTGTGGTGATCGTTTCACAATATATACAAATATTGAATCATTTTGTACATGTGAAACTAATACAATGTTATAAGTCAATTATACCTCAATAAAAACAATAATAAAAAATACTACAAGCCTGTCTGTACAGAAACTTGTACATGAATGTTTATAATGGCTGGCATTGCTCATAACAGCCAAAAACTGGAAACAACCCAAATATCCATCAACAGATGAATAAAATATGGTATCTTTGCACATATATCCAATACGTAAGGGAATATTATTCAGCCATATAAAGGAATGGAGTATTGATATACGCTCCAACATAGATGAACCTTGAAAACATTATGCTAAGTAAAAGGAGCCCATCACAAAAGCCACATACTGTATGTTAAATTTAGGCAAATTGCCCAGAATCAGCAAATCTATAGAGACAGAAACTAGATCGGTGGTTGCCTACAGCTGAGGGGTGGGGAGAAGTGGTGAAATGGAGCATGAACTGCCACTGAGTATGGGATTTCTTTTTTTGGGTAGTGAAAATGTTTTAAAGTTGTGATGATGGTTGCACTACTCTGTGAACATATTAAAAACCATTGAATTGTCCACTTGAAATGGCTGAATGTATGGTATATAAATGACATCTCAATAAAGCTGTTAAAAAGAAAACTACAATACAACGGAATACTAGTCAGCCATAAAAAGGACAAAATCGTCCCGTTTGAAACAACATGGATGGACCTTGAGGGTAAGATGTCAAGCAAAATAAGCCAGACAGAGAAAGACGAACGCTGCATGATTTCACTCACATGTGGAAGATAAAGAAACACGTGGATAAAGAGCACAGATTAGAGATTACCAGAGGGGGAAGGGGTTGGGGAGTAAGGGAAAGGGGAAAAGGGGCACATATGTATGGTGATGGATAAATATTAGATTACTGGTGGTAGGCACAAGACAGTCTATACAGAAACTGATAAACAATAATGTACTCTTGAAATTGCACAGTTATGAACCATTATATTAAGACCTCAATAAAATAATTGGGAAAAGCAAAAGAACCAGAACAGAAGGTATTGCACCAAAAAAAAAGAAGAAAACTACAGCCTACCCCTCCACCCTCATCCCTACTTTGTGCCTCAGAAAATGTGGTCTTACATCTTCCTTAGTTTACTTATTGATTATATTCATGGGTTCTGAATAGAATGTTAGCTCTGGGAAGACGAGGATTCTTTTGTCTGTCGGTTCACCAGTTCATCCATTGTATTTCCAGGCCTAAGACTTGTCAGGAACATCATAGGAATGAGTGTCTGCAAAGGGAATGTTAAGTGCCTCAAACATCCAATTACTCTGTCAATACTGTCTCTCCTCCTTCACCTTGGCCGTATCCTCCAAATTCTGCCTTGCTCCCCCCTTCTTGGATGACCATCTTGTCACAAGGTCACCTCTGGACTTGAGGCTCTATTAACATTTGTTGTTTTAACACTTAGTAATTTCTTTTTTTTTTTAATAGATTTTTATTTTTCCCTTTTTCTCCCCAAAGCCCCCCGGTACATAGTTGTATATTCTTCGTTGTGGGTCCTTCTAGTTGTGGCATGTGGGACGCTGCTTCAGCGTGGTTTGATGAGCAGTGCCATGTCTGCGCCCAGGATTCAAACCAACGAAACACTGGGCCGCCTGCAGGGGAGCATGCGAACTTAACCACTCGGCCACGCCACGGGGCCAGCCCCCCTGCTGTTGTTTTATATTTAATCATGACTGCGGTACCTTCCTCTCTCCTCCCCCACCGCCTCTCTCTCTCTCTCCTTGCCTCAGAAAGAACAAAGGCCTCATGGATCTTCCCATTTTGGACCCCAGACAGCCCCAGTCCTGGGTGGGGTGGGAGGAAGGACAAAGTTTCAGTGAGTCCCGGGGATGGGATGGAGGGGAAATTTGCAACACTTAAAAGGCCACTTTCCTAACGTGCTCCAACTTGGGAAGCCCTTGGGTTTGGGGAGCCTTTGGGAAGTTGTGGGTTTGGGGCTCCCCTGTGGTGATGGGGCTGAGGCCAGGAGGGGTGAGGAAAGGAGATTAGCAGAAAGTCTGTGCCTGGTACAGAGAGGCTCTCTGCAAACTTTTTTTACTCAAAGGACTGGAGGGGGCATGAGACTTCAGCAGCTACGTGTTTCTGCTGCCCCCATGTGTCTCAATTTGGAACTGTATGAATCCAGAGTCTGGTCCTTTTGTACGTGTCCAGACCAGCGCAACATCCAGCTTTGAGAACGCTCTCACCCTCCCATGGCACCGTGCTCAATCCTCCCTGAAAAGATGGCAGCTAGGAAGATGTCGGTATGCCAAGCATCTTCTAAGATGGCGAGGATCCCAAAGATCGCTGCCTCCTGGTATTTAGTGCTTGTGTAATCCCCTCCCCTAGACTGTGGGCTGAACATATGACTTGTTTCCAGCAGGTGGAATACAGCAAAAGTGATGGCATGTTACTTCTGATATTAGGTTATAAAGACCATGACTTCCATCTTGTTTGTACCCTCCTCCTTCTCATCTTCCCTCATCTCTTCTCTCCTGTCTTCCCTCTTTCCTTCCCTACTTGCTTCTCTGTCTGTCTCTCTCTCTGTGTCTCTCTCTCTTTGTCTCTTTCTCTCTGGGTGTACATCTCTCTCTGTCTGTCTCTCTCTCTCTCTCTTTCTCTCTCTCTGTGTCTCTCTCTCTTTGTCTCTTTCTCTCTGGGTGTACATCTCTCTCTGTCTGTCTCTCTCTCTCTCTCTTTCTCTCTCTCTGTCACTCCATGTCTGTGTGTCTCTCTATGTCTCTCTTTCTTTCTCTGTCTTTCTTTCTCCCTCTTTCTGTCTGTCTTTCTCTCTCTGTCTCTCTGTCTGTCTGTCTCTGTCTTTCCCACTCTGTGCCTCTCTGTCTATTTCTCTCTCAGTGTCTCTTTCTCAAACCCTGCCACATGCTCCATGGAGGGACCCATATGTCCAGGAACGAACGTCTTCCATTAGAGAAGAACTGAGATCTGCTCAGTGTTAGAAAGAGATCCCCTAGCCCAAGTCAAGACGTGGGACAACCACAGTCTGTGCTGACGTCTTGTTTGCAGCCTTATGAAGGACCCGTAGCCAAGTCACCAGCTAAACCACCCCGTTTCCTGATCTACAGAAACTGTGAGATAATAACTTTCGGTGGTTTTAAACCAAGCTGTATAATGGGTTTATAACATTTGCAGGATTTTTGTTCTAGATTGAGGAGGGAAGAAATATAAATATTAAAAAATCAAAGAAAACATGAACAACTCCTCAAAACTTATTTAAAGACCGACTTGTTCCTGACTTTACATCAGAGACGATTGCCTTCAGCAATCTCTAGATTAAAATACCCCCGTCTGTCTCTGTCACATTCCCTCCATTATACCTTTAAAGTCCTTCTCACAATTGGTAATTATCTGTCCCATTGATTATTTCTTTATTTGTGATCGTTTGCCCTGCTCGACTGGGAATTTTTCTTTGTTTTCCGTTGTTTCATTTTATTTTTAAAATTAGTATCAGTGAAATTAGCTCTTTTTTTCTGGCGTATGTTGGAATTTTATCACATTATAGATTTGAGGGATCTGGGGAGGTGGAGCGCCATCTAAATTTTTTGGCACCTTCGAAGACATCGCTCTGATATTACAGTAAAGAACAGCTCCTCTCCCCCAAAGAACTCTCTTGCTCTAAACCTTTGTAGTCACAAGGAAAGGCTTTTTTTTTCTCTCTTGCTTACTGCTCTATTGCAGTGCTTAGAATAATAGCTGGTAAAGCATAGATACTTGGTAAGTATTTGTTGAATAAATGAATGAATGAATGAAATATATATCGATGCCAAGAAATGTTGGAAGTTGATACTGTAAGGGCTACCAGGACAAATCTGTCCTGGGGTTGTTGCCTTAACTTCTTAACACAAAACAAGATAGAGATAATTTGCTGACAGAATCTTAAGAGGTTTTTATTGGTGCATGGCTTTTTTCATTGCATAGGGGAGGGAAGGAGCTAAATAATTGCTTCAGCTCAAGCAGCATACAGACAGAAAAGTTTCCACAAAATTCTATGAGCCCCCAAGTTCTAATAATTTCCCATCTCTGGCAATTCCAACTGTCTCCCAACCAGCATTGTAACTACCTGCATGCACATGGCAGGAGAATGGAGGGAACTTACGAGGAGAGAGAGCTGTCATTCAGCTCTTCCTCAATTTTTGGTTATTCTAAAAAAGCCCTGACCAGAACCATGGGTTCCCCTTGGCCAACTCCTACATTTTAAATTCTAGGTTTTATTCACCAGAGTATCCTCCTGAAAGCATCTTTCCAACCTCCAACAGGGCCAGGTCTGGAGGTCTGTTTGTTCACCTGAGAAAGTCTAATTTAATTCTCTTGGAAGGAAAGTAACATAAGCAAATTAGATGTATGGTTATTCAAAGTCATTCTACTTAAGATGATGTCAGCTCCTTAGCACCATTTGAAATTCGTAGTCCCATCCAAAGTCACTCTTCAGTCTATTTTAGTTGTAAATCTCCATATGAGTATTAAGATTACTCCACAATAGACATAAATGCAATTTATTGCCTTCATAGGGGCTTTAGAAGGACTAAATGGAACAAGTAAGCGTATTGTGGTGTGTGGCACAAGATAAACTCACAATGGATAGCTCTTATTTCTATTATAGGCAGTGTTACTACTTACATGCTTTCTGCAGGCATATATGGAGATTGAGACATGTCCCAGATTCCTTCTGGTCCAGAAGTTCATGATTCAATTGATTAATATTTTCCTCTTTGGCTATGAAGATATATGTCTTTGGTAGTGGTTCTTGACTTCCTTCCTGCGTGGTCTGAATCTCTTTCTCCCTGTGACTTCTACAACTCTTCCCTAGGACACTCCATCTCACCTCCCCAGAAGACAGGGTAGGAGTGAGGGTAGGGGGTATGCATTTCTTCCACATGCTCCCTGACTTTGGTCCCTAGAAATCAAATTAACTGGCTGGTTCTCAAGAGCAAGGCCAAACTCTTGGGTTGGTCCTAAAGCTCTTTTTGACCTGACAGTCCCCAAGTCACTCACCATAACTGGATTTTTCACTTTACAAATGCATCCTTCTCTCTCTTTCTCTTCTTTACCACGTTTTCACATACCATTTTCTTTGTCTGAGACACTCTTGCTTCTCATATTTGTCTCAACGACACCATTTTATCCTTTGGGATAAGATCCTCCCCTCCAGGCTTGGTCGCGTGTTCCTGCTGTATCCCATCCTTCCTCTCATGTTCATATTCCCTTCTGTTATAATTACATGTGCAACTTCTTCTCCCACACCCAACTTTAGGGATCTCCCAACCTATAGGTATTGCATCTCTCCTGCACACCACACTATGGCCAGCACCTACATCAAGCTCAGAATAAGTACTCAATAAATATTTGCTGAGTACTAAATAGATTCTGAACAAGGGTAAATCCAATATGGTAAGACTAGACTTATCTTTCTTGGAGGACAGCATGAGACATACCCACAAGGACCCTTAGTTGAGAAAATAGTAGCAGGAACATCTTGAACTTCCTTTTTAAACTTCTGCAATTCAACTTTCAACAGGGTTAGTGCCCCAAACCATGCAATTCCATACTTTTGCCAAAGACCTTAGATGTTGAGACTTCCTGGAATCCAGGTGACCTGGTGGTCAGGAAGATGAGGTGATTTTTCTGTTGACGAGCTTCCTCAGGGCCCCTTTGAGGTCTTTGTTCCTCAGGCTGTAGATAAAAGGGTTCAGCATGGGGGTGACTGCAGTGTACATTACAGCAGAGGCTTTCTCTTTCAAAGCTGTGCTGACAGATGAAGGACACAGATAAACCCCAATGGTGGTCCCATAGAAAAGGGAGACCACAGAGAGGTGAGAGCTGCAGGTGGAAAAGGCTTTCTTCCTGCCACCTGCAGAGGGGACCTTTATGATGGCCATGATGATGCGAGCATAGGAGGCCAAGATGCAGATGAAAGGTGTGGCTATCACCATCCCTGCCACGATGAGCACAAAGATCTTGTTCACAGAGGTGTCAGTACAAGAAAGCTTGAGAAGGGGAGTGAGGTCACAGAAGTAGTGAGGTAACTCATTGCCGCCACAGAAAACCAGACGGGCCATCAGAAGGATGTGGGTGAGGGAAACGAAGCAGGAAAACACCCACAGGCCACCAGCCAGCAGGCCACAGAGGCGTGGGCTCATGATGGTGGTATAGTGTAAAGGGTGACAAATAGCCACATACCTGTCATAAGCCATCACAGCTATTAAGACACTGTCCATGATGCCAAAGAAATGGAAAAAGTACATTTGGGTCAGGCAGCAGGGATAAGAGATTGACTTGTTGTTGATTTGGATGTTTACCAGCATCTTGGGGACGGTGTTGGTGGCCAGGCAGAAATCAACCAAGGAGAGATTGGCCAGGAAAAAGTACATGGGGGTGTGGAGGTGGAAGTCTGAGCTGATGGCCAGGATGATCAAGAGGTTGCCCACGACTGTGACCACATACATACAGAGGAACAGAGCAAAGAGGACAGTCTCCTGTTCTGGATCTTCTGAAAGCCCCAGGAGGATAAATTCGTGTGTGCTGGTTTGGTTCCTTGGTTCCATGGGCATGATTCCTCTGGAAGTGTTGAAAGGGGGAAGTTACATGAACACTATGAAGATAGCTAGCTAGTTAGCTAGATAGTTTCCCATCTAGGCTAATTATAACACCAGCTTATAAATGTGTTGTATCTTGAACTATTTTTTTTTTTTTAAGATTTTTTAATTTTTTTTCCTTTTTCTCCCCAAAGCCCCCCAGTACATAGTTGTATATTCTTCGTTGTGGGTCCTTCTAGTTGTGGCATGTGGGACGCTGCCTCAGCGTGGTTTGATGAGCAGTGCCATGTCCGCGCCCAGGATTCGAACCAACGAAACACTGGGCCGCCTGCAGCGGAGCGCGCGAACTTAACCACTCGGCCACGGGGCCAGCCCCGTATCTTGAACTATTAATGAAGTGTTTACAGCAATTTGTATGTCAAGGCTTGGTTTCAGGACCCTTCCCTGAATCTTTCCATTTCAGACAAAGATTGAGAGAGCATGCATGCTGAAAAAAACTATTAAAAGATTTACTTCAGGATAAAACAAATTGAATTCAAAAAGAAACTATCCAAGAAGCAATGGTCAGCCAAGAAATTTGTTTTTATGTCAAAAATATAAACAAAATGTTGAGTTTAAAAATATGTAATAATAATAAAGAGAGTGTGCACATAAATAAGATTGATTAGAATACTAGGCAACAGGTATATTTACTACAAGAAGGGGAATTAAAATGAAACCATTGTAAAGTTCTTGTATTGAGTTGCAAGAGAATAGAAATATTGAGTATTTTGGGCTTTATACACAACTGAAGTTTAGGTGTAACCACTAAAATAATGAGCATAGAATATATAACTTCTAAATTAGAGCACAGACACAACAGAAATAAAGAGATTTTGATGAAACCTCTTTAGGTCAGGAAAAGAGATATAAAGAAGCAAAAAAAAAAAAAATTCATAAAATGTGTATAATCACAACAAATCTCCAAATGGCTTAAACTAGTCATTAAAACAGAGACTCTCAGGTTGGACAAAGAAACAAAATCCTATTACCTCATGTGTACAAGAGATACACCTAAACTATAATGACATAGAAGGATTGAAGAAAAAAGAATAAAGATATGCTAAGAAATACTAACCAAAGGAAGATGGATAACTTATTAATATCAGAGAAAATATGCTTAAGGCAAAAGGCATTAAAAGGGATAAAGAAAGTTTTTACATAATAACAAAGGGAACAATTCACCAGAGAGGGGGAGAAAAGCTACTATTATGCATTTAACAACATTAGCTTACAATACATAAAGAAAAAAATGAACAGAACTATAAGGAAAAATGATAAAGCCACATCACATTAGGATATTTTATCATATCTTTTTTAGTAATTGATAGGCCAGGGAGGCAAAATTTTGGTAAGAGTATAGAAGTTTTGATAACACAATTAACAAGCTTGATTTAAGCTCTACACTAAATTATTAGAGAAGCCACATTCTTTTCAGGGACCTATGGAATATCTGCAAAAGTTAAGCCACAAAGCATAATACCAAAGAATACATATCAAACAAAGCATGTTCTCAGATCATAATGTAATCAAATTAGAAATCAATAGTAAAAAGATAATCATCTCTTCCTATATGCTTAAAAATATTTAAAGCATGCTTAAAAATAATGTATGCATGAAAGAAGCCATTATCATTGCAATCAGGAAATATTTATAATTTTTAAAAAACCTACCTATCAAAGGAGATGCAGCTAAAGCAGTATTTAGAAGTAAATTCTTATTCTCAAATGTGTAATTTAGAAAAGAAAGCTTGAAACATAAAACTATTGAAAGTCCTAAGAGAAGACTTAACTAATTGAACAGGTTCTATGGTCATGCCTGCTCAGCTCATAATCTTGTTTCCCTGTAATGGTCATTTACTTGGTGATTTCAATAAGATGCAGAAGAGTTTTCTACTATCTTCCCTGCAAAGAGCACCAAGTTTGACAATCACCCATAGGTGAGAGTACCTTTGTTGGAGTCCAGGTCCAGTGGAGAAGTTCCAGCATACAACCGAAGCAAAAAAAGAAGAATCTGAGATTGGACCCTTTGAAAATGGTAAGAGGAATGGTTTCACTTTAGTTATGTCACCCCTCCCCAAAGACAGCACAGCTCAGTGCCAAGAAAGACACTCTCAACCTTGATTTCTCCCGCTGGAAAGTGAGAGTGTGTAAGTGAATGTTTGGCTACCCCAGCTGTGTGGAATGCTGCCAAAGAGACTCACTTCTTTCTCACCCAATCCAGAATACCAAGGTGAGCTGCTGCGTGCCTGAGGGCAGGGAGAGGCTGGGAGTACATCAGGCATGCTCAGAATCCATCAAAGGGTCACAAATCCTACCAACTGCTTCACAGATTCCATCAGGAAGCCTGTCCACACTCCCCTGGGGATCCTCCTAACTGTCCCACAGGCACTTGCATGCCTCACCCATATGTATCACCATGCCACGACCAGCTCCCTGTGCATGCCCCCAAGGACAGTGAGTGTGAGCATTTGCAGATAGCTAGTGAGCAAATGTAGGAAGCCAGCCCAACTCCGAGGGCTTGAGAGAAAGCACACAAACTTGAGGATTGCAGGGCACCACCCTAGGGAAAGCAAACAGGAGGCTCAGTGCCTGGCCTGGCTTTGCAGGATCAAGAGAAGGCATACAATCTTAAGAACTCTCACAAGAGGGAACAAGAAATGTGGAGCAGGTGTATCCATTGAAAAGGTCTCTGAATGCCTGAGAATCCCTAGGAGGGCTGACAGAAGTGTTTCTCTCCCAAAGTCAGTCAGGAAAGACTGGAGGAGGTGACTCCTTCTTCAAATGTGAAAACGTTAATGCATGACTTCAGGGAACGTGAAAAATCAAGGAAATATAACATTATTAAAGGGAGGCAATAATTTTTCAGTAATTGACCAAAAAGAAATGCAGATCTACACTCTGCCTGTTAAGGAATTCAAAATAGTTGTTTTAAGGAAGCCCAATGAGCTACAAGAAGACACAGAAAGACAATTCAATGAAATCAGGAAAAAAAATACATGCACATGATCTTATATATAGAAATCCTCAAAAACTCCGCAAAAAAAAACTGTTAAAACTAGTAAGTGTCTCAATAAAGGTGCAGAATATGAAATCAACACACAAACATGAATTGCATTTCTGTACACTAACAATGAACCATCTGAAAAAGAAATTTAAAAAATCTCATTTACAATAGCATCAAAAACAATGAAATTCTTAAGAATTGATTTAACCAAGGAGGTGAAAGAGCTGCATACTGCAAACTATAAAACATTGATGAAAGAAAGTGAAGAACACGCAAATAAATGGAAAGACATCCTGTGCTCACCAATTGAAATAATTAATGTCGTGAAAATGTGCATACTACTCAAAGTGATCTAAATATTCAATTCAGTCCCTATCAAAATTCCAATGGCATTTTTCATGGAAATAGAAGATACAACCCTAAAATTTGCATGAAACTACAAAAGACCCCCAAAAGCCAAAGCTGTGTTGGGAAAGAACAGACCTGGAGGCGTCACATTTCCTGATTTCAATTCTATTCCAAAATTTTAGTAATCAAAACAGTGTGGTACTGGCATAAAAACAGACACATAGACCAAAGGAACGCAACAGATATCCCAGAAATAGATCATGCATATACATCAACTGATCTTTTACAAAGATGCCCAGAACACACAGTGGGGAAAGGATGGTCTCTTCAGTAAATCGTTTTGGAGAGACTGGATATTTCAATTCACATGCAAAAGAATGAAAGTGTGGGGCTGGCTCCGTGGTGTAGTGGTTAAGTTTGCATGCTCCGCTTCAGTGGCCCGGGGTTCACAGGTTTGGATCCAGGGTGTGGACCCAGCACCTCTTGTCAAGCCACTCCGTGGTGTCATCTCACATGAAATAGAGGAAGACTGGGACAGATGTTAGCTCAGTAACAATCTTCCCCAAGCAAAAAGAGGAAGATTGGCAACAGATGTTAGCTTGGTGACAATCTTCCTCACAAAGAAGAAAGAAAAGAATGAAAGTGGATTGCTGTCTTACACCACTCATAAAAAATAACTAAAAATGGATTAAAGACTTAGATGTAAGATTTGAACCCATAAAGTTCCTAGAAGAAAACATAGAGAAAAAACTCTGTGACATTGGATTTAGCAATGATTTTTTTGGATATGATACCCAAAGTACAGTGAAGAAAAGCAAAAATCTACAAGGGGGACTACGGCAAACTAAAAAGCTTCTGCAAAGCTAAGGAAACAACCAAAAAATGGAAAGGCAACCTACAGAATGGGAGAAAATATCTGCAAATTACATACCTGATAAGGAGGTAATATCCAAAGTATATATGGAGCTTATACAACTCAATAGCAAAAATTAAAAAATAGACTAAGGATCTGAATAGGCATTTTTCTAAAGAAGACATACAAATGGCCAATAGGTTCATGAAAAGGCACTCAACATTACTAATCATCAGGGAAATGCAAATAAAAATCACAGTGAGATTTTTACACCTTTAGGATGACTTTTATCAAAAAGACAAGACATAGCAAGTGTTGGTGATGATATGGAGAAAAGAATTATTTATCCTCTTTGTAGGAATGTAAAGTGGTATGGTCACTGTGGAAAACAGTATGAGGTTTCTGACAAAATTAAAATATAACTATCTTATGATACCATAATTCCTCTTCTAGGTATATATCTGGAGGAAACAAAATCAGAGTGTGAAATGGATATCTGCTCCCCCATGCTCATTGACGCATTATTTACAATAGCCAGGATCTGGAAACAGCCTGTGTTCATCACTGGGGAATGGATAGAGAAGCTGTGGGATGTACTTAATGGAATATTATGCAGCCATGAAAAAATAAGGAAATCTTGTCATTTGAGACAACATGGATGAACCCAGAAGACATTATACTAAGTGAAATATGCCAGACAGAGAAAGACAAATTTTATATGACCTCATTCATATGTGGAATTAAAAAAAAAAGTCAAGCTCATAGAAATGGAGTATAGAATGGTGTTTACCAAGGGCTAGAGGAAATGGGGCGATGCTGGTTAAAGGGTACGAGCTTTCATT